CCAGGCACACATCTTAAGGGACTCAGATCTCCTGACTCCAGAGAATGGAAAAAAAAGGCACCTGGGATACAGAAAATAGCCCTGAGATGAAAGAATATATTTCAATTCTTGCAGAATAGGACTGAGAATACAGATTTAAGAGACCTGGCTAAGCCAGGAAAACCCAAGACTTCTTAAGGTAAGGTCTCCTTTTTCCCTATTGATTGATTCCCTATCATACTTCCCACAAGAGCTTCTGTTCCAAACTTCTCCTCTCTTTCAGCTACCATCATTAGCCCTGCCTTCTCCCTCTCAGAAAATGGCTGCCATCTGCTGAGACTTCCCTGTTCTCTCCCATTTATTAGCCTCTTTTAAAATGCAATCTGTCCTCCTTTTACCAGAGCCATTTGTTGTATGTGATTTGACATTGAGTTCACAAGATTTTGACACATGCTTTAATTTTGCATCAGGAAGCTACTCATGTATCACACTGGACACTAGGTACAACTTGGACAAATAATTCAACAATTATTTATTAAGCATCTATGATGGTTTGTAAAGATGGCTAGATGGTGAAGTAAATAGAGTGCTGGGCCTGAAGTCAGGAAGACTCATCTTTGTGAGTTCAAATCTGGCCTCAGACACTTACTAGCTGTGTGACCCTGGACAAGTCACTTAATCTGTTTGCCTCAGTTTCCTTATGTGTAAAATGAGCTGGAGAAGGAAATGGCAAATTACTCCAGTGTCTCTGCCAAGAAAACCCCAAATGGGTTCATGAAGAGTCATACACAACTGAAAATGACTCAACAATTAAATCCACTCTGAGTAGTGTTCTTAACCAGTTTTGAGCTCCTCTCTTCCATGTAACAGGGTTATTTCTGTTACTGCCAATAACTGTTGACTCCCGTCTCACATCGTTGACCATAATGGCTGTGGCAAAGGCACTATTATGCACTGGAAGAAGTCCCAAGACATCTGGCTAGGATCAGGAAGAGTTGGACATGACGGAAATAAGTGAACAACAACAAATGGTTTGTAAATAATGGATAGGAGTTTGTGGAGAGTTGACCTGTGAGGTCCCCTCCCCAGATCTACATCTATAAATGTGCTAAGTGCTGGAGGAATCTGAACTTTGGATAAAACATGGTTAGATCTCATGGAGCTTATAATCTAGCAGAGGGCTAGACGTAAACATGAAAAGCTATAATGCACAGCATACATGCTAAGTGCATTAGAGAGTTAGAAAGTGGAGGTGAGGGACATCCAAGTCTAGGAGCAAGATGACTAGAGACGAGATGGGGGAGGGGGGCGGAATGAAGCATGGCTGGAGCAGCTGGCCTGAGATAGATCACCACACTCACCAGTCAGGACCTCAGTGGCCCCAGCATGACAGTCTGAAACTGAAAGAATGAAATCTTCTCTGGGACAGGAGGCAAGGCAATTAATGAGAAGATGGTGGGGAGCTCTAATGAGTGAGGTGCGGTGTAATGGATACACTCACATGAAAGAGCAATTCACCACTAAAATTCAGAACTGCTTTGGGTTTTAAGGTAGTTGGTCCTATGCCAGGTCACCTACTCGGGGGGAGAGAATTATTATCACTTATTAAGCTTATATTACGCGCCAGGCATTGTGCTAAATAATTTCACAAATATGATTTTACTTGATGCTCACTGGGAGATAGATGTTATTATTATTCCCACTTTATAGTTGTTCAGTTGTTTTTCAGTCATGTCCAACTCTTTTCAACCCCATTTGGGGTTTTCTTGGCAGAGATACTGGAATGGTTTACTATTTTTTTTTCTCCAGCTCATTTTACAGATGAGGAAACTGAAACAAATAGAATTTGGTGACTTGCTCAGGGTCACACAGCTAGTAAGTATTTGAAGCTGGATTTGAATTCAGTTCTTCCTGACTCCAGGCCCAGCATTCTAACTAGTTCACCATTTAGCTGCCTGCTACTAGTGGAAAAAAGAAAACAGAGGACAGAACTTGGGATTCTGCAAGCATGAGAATTTCACCATAGTGTCCCTCCTACTATTCCAACATATGATCTCTACTACCATAGATATATACATGAGGGGATGCCAAAGCCTCTAGTGAGTTTCCAATATAATTGCAGTGTGGACTTTGCTTTGTCTTACAGTCTTGGAGTTCAGATCATTTTTATTTAACGTGTAAAATGTATCAGCATAACCATTGTGAGGAACTGCTGCTGCTACTTCTGTTTAGCATCAGAAAAGGGATTTTGTTGTTGGTATTTCCAAACAAAATGGCACCAGACAAGCTATTTATAAATGTTTATAAACGCACACAGGGCAGAAGATGAGCTCCAAATCACCTGAGGCCCTAGAAGGATGAACAAGTACAACCTCAAGGACTATAGAATCTGAGAGGTTGTCTAGTTAAAAAAAAGGATATTCTCTATAGCATCCTCAAAATGTGGTTGTCTAACCTCTCCTTGGAAACTTCCAATGGGGGGGACAGCCTATCCCTCTTATGGATAACTCTCACTATTGGGAAGTTTTTCCTTATGTCAAATTTAAATCTGCTACTCTACCATTTTCACTCATTGCTCCTAATTCCGCCCCTGGGGTCAAGCATAACAAATATATAATAGCTAACATTTATATGGTGCTTTAAGGTTTTGCTCTGTGACTCTGTCTGTCTCTTCTTATTAAATTCCCACAGAAACCCTTTGAGATCTGGAGTTGCTATTATCCCCATTTAAAAGATTAGGAAGGGGCAGCTAGGTGGCGCAGTGGATAGAGCACCAGCCCTGGAGTCGGGAGGACCTGAGTTCAAATCCGATCTCAGACACTCCCTAGCTGTGTGACCCTGGGCAAGTCACTTAACTCCAATTGCCTCATATTAAAAAAAAAAAGAAAGAAAGAAAAGAAAAGATTAGGAAACAGGTGGAAAGGAGTAAAGTGACTTTCCCAGGGTCCTGTGATTAGTAAATATCTGAGGCAGAATTTGAATTCAGATATTCCTGACTTCAGGTACAGAACATTATCCACTGTGCCACCCAGCTGCCTAATAAATGCTTCCTTCCATTTGTCCTTCCCTCCCTCCTTTCTTTCCTTCCTTCTTCCCTCCCTTCCTCTTTTCTGTCCTTCCTTCTTTCCTTCCTTTCTTCTTTCTTTCTTCCTTCCTTCATTCCTTTTTTCCTTCCTTCCTGTTTGAAGACAGTTATCATGTCCCACTTCCCTCAGTCTTCTTTTCTTTTTGCTTATCATCCCCACTTCTACTTCAGGTGACACATGATCTGAGTCTGGACTTGAACTCAAGTCCTCTTTTCCTAAGCCTGGTGTTCTTTCCACTGTATCTTAAAAGGAAAAATCTCTCCTTTTGAGGGCCTTGGATACATTTTTGATTTCTGACCAAAATTACTATGAATACAGATATTTTCTCCAATAGCTTGGCTGGTGTCACTCTTCTCTGGTCCTAGAAATTCTCTCGTTTCATCTCCTCTGCCCAGATTTTGGCCAATGCTCTCTAAAGACTGTCTCTTATTCCTCCGCTTTTAATGAACCGTAATAGATTCCCCAGACTCCCCATCTTTTTCTCCTCTGCCTTTGATTTCTTAACAAACATCCTTTGGTTCTATGCAGATCTGCTCACAGAATGACACTATCCACCTTGACCTCACTGGGGCAACTGGTCTATCACATTTCCCTTCAGATATCAAACCTCTAGTGCTAGAATGGATTTCAGACACCATCTGGTCCAACTGCCTCATTTTTCAGATGAGGAAACTGAGGCCATAAAAGTAACCTTGTGCAAGCTTCTTAATAATAGAGATTATTTATATATATATATTCCTAGTGCCTGACACATAGCAGACATTTAATAAATGCTTAGTGATTGATTGCTCAAGGTCACACACCACATAGAGGGACTCACAACAAATACGTATCACCAGCTTTCTCTCTGTTTCATTCTCTTCCACCATCCTTAGGGACTCTAGTAGTCATACTGATGGCTGATAGTATGACCTCTCAGTTCCTAAGCTTCTTCAACAACCCACACTTTCTTCTTCACCTCATTTCAGCCCCACATGCACATGGGTCAGTCACTATTAGACCTCACCATCTCCTGGAATTAATTAAAACAACTCCAAGAGATGCTCATCAAAAGCCTGGTGATCTCCCCCTTTTCTCTCCATTCCCTTCACTTCCCCAGGCATTGACAATGATTAAGAGGAGAACTCAGGAAAGATGGGAGAACACTTAATTCTCCCCTGGGCAAGGGGGAGAATTGAGACCATCCAGCTCACCACTGGGGCAAGGGACATTGTAATGTTATTTTTAAGTTTTGTATGACAGCATAAGATCCGGAGGGAATAAAAGTGAGGAGGGCTTATATTCACTTAACAGCTGGGGTGGTGTTTGTCAAGGAGAATCATGTAGGTTCATTGAGTCAGGTGACTTTCATTTTGTGAGTAGGTGGTGAGTGAATATAGTTTTATAAGGATGTATTTGGAAGGGTCCAAGTGTCCTTTCTGGAAAAGGAAATGGCAAACCACTGCAGTATCTTTCCCAGGAAAACCCCAAATGGGGTGATGAAGAGTCAGACATGACTGAACAACAAAGAGTCCTTTCAGTATAAGAATCAGAGCCCTCCTTTGGACCTACGTCTAGCATAGCATCGTCATGTTTACCATTTCAGGAAAGGTGACAGACCTCACACCAGGAGAAGTAGAAAAACAGTCATGAAAAACATTCATTTGCTGATGAATCAGATCCCAAGTAGCCCTAGCTCTTGCTAAGGGCTATGTGTCTCACCTGATGAGTTCCCATTCTCTCTCTCTCTCTCTCTCTCTCTCTCTCTCTCTCTCTCTCTCTCTCTCTCTCTCTCTCTCTCTCTCTCTCTCTCTCTCTCTCTCTCTCTCTCTCTCTCTCTCTCTCTCTCTCTCTCTCTTCTCCCTCCCCCAGGATCTGTAAATTTGAATCAGCTGGTTTTCCTGAAGTGGAATAAAGTACCAGGAATATTTTGAGAGAAATCCTTGGTGTACTCACCATATGCTACATCAATGTTGGGGAGCAGATGCTGACTGTCTTCATACCTCCCAACAGCAACAGTCTGGCTGTCTTGAATTCCCAGAGCATTTGCTTCTTCTACAAAAAAAGCAAATGTAAAGAAACAAGTGACAATGTATACAACCTTTCTGTCTACAGCGAGGGATTCTGAAATAGTTGCCTGAAAAGTTGAGGTGGAAGGCTTTTCTTTGGCTCCCTGTAAACATAAGAACCCTTCCACTCTAGAACTGTCCTTCAGTTCAATTTCTTATAAGCCTTCAGGGGTGGCAAACCTGAGGCCACATGTGGCCTTCTAGGTCCTCAAGTGTGACCCTTTGACTGAATCCAAACTTCACAGAACAAATCCCCTTTAATAAAAGGATTTATTCTGTATAACTTGGACTCAGTCAAAAGGTTGCACCCGAGGACCTAGAAGGCCACATGTAGCCTTGAGACCACAGGTTCCCACACCCCTGGTTGCATATGGAGGGGTTGTTACTTTGGGGGTTGGATAAAAATACTTAATTTTAAAATGCTTAAAATTCCAAGACAGGAGATATTTAAAAGCACCTACTCGGGAGAATGAAGAGGGGAATGCTGTGGGTAATAAAACATGAGCCCTACTGTGTACCTTGACTATCTGCTTCTCCTTTCCCTCTATCTACCTTTTAGGCACAACCCACTGGCCATGCCCATGGGAGAAAAGGAATGGGGAGGGAATGCTGGAATTTTCTCTCTTCCTCAGCTTGGCAGCAGCCTAAGAAAAGGTGAGACTACTAAGGACGGGGGTCATAGCCACCTCTTTAGCAGTCACTCCTAGCTTTGGGGATCCAGAGCTGTAGGAGCTCCAAGAGGCTCATCGATGAATCATAGGAATGCTCATTTATACGGAGCTTTAAGGCCTATAAAGCACTTTATATGCGTCATCTCATACTGTCATCTCCATAACAACACTCTAAGGTAGTTGTTATTATCGCCTCTGTTTTACAGATGGGGAAACTGAAGCTCAGAAAGAATGACTGGCCCAGGGCATCACAGCTATTTGAAGCAGGATTTAAATTTAAGGCATTCTGATGCCAAGTCTAGTGTGTTTGCCTCACACAGTAAAGGGAGCCTTGTATTGACTGATTCAAGATGTCCTGCTGATTCAGGAAGGGATTTCACTAGAGTACAAGAAAGGCTCACTGAAATGATTTCCTTAACATCATGTCACCTTCACTCCACCCCAAAGAAAAATTAATGCAAAGAACTAGAAAGGACTTGATGACTACAGATGAAAAGCCTACATCCTAGACAGTTCAAACAAAGAGAAATCACTGGAAAGGCTATTATTATGTTGTATATAATACCTTTTATGTCCTTCCTCCCCATATCCCTACTTTTAAGAGACTCTGCCTTGCTAAGTGAAAAGCAGCAATGACCATTAACCATTGTCTGTTTCCAGTGTTTCCTTCCCCCTACTCCCCATCTCGCCACCCAAGCCTTTAAATAATGTGCTGGGGTATGGAATCACCCCCCATTCCACCCCAGGTTTGTAGCTCACATCTACTAGCTGCTCCTGAAATGGTTTCCATGGGCTCCAGAGCTCCCTGCAGAGCTCATTACCACTCTGGCCCCCTCTCCTCCCTTCTCTTCCTGATAGAGATCTCAGTTCCTCTTCCCCCAAGGAAGAAGTGTCAATGAGGTGCAAACCTATGGAGGGTGACACTGTTTTTCAGTTAGGGCTCAGCTCCTAAGCCCAGGCCATGAACTAGGGTCAACCAACACAATTTTGGTGAGAAAAAAAAATTGGGAAAAAATGTGAAAGGGAACATTGCAGCACCAGCCTAAATGAATCCTAATACAAGACCACCATCTCTACTACTATTTTTTCTCACATATCTCATTCAGCCACCTGATTTATCTATCTAGTTTTGAGTTAGGGATATCCTTCTTTCAGAAAAGCACCCTAGCCCAGTATATATTCAGAGGTGTGGTTCTGTGTGTGTTTCCAATTCAGGATTGTTGAACTTTTTATGAGGCAGCTAAGTAACACTCTGGATACAGTTGGGCCTGGAGTTGGAAGACCTGTGTTCAAATTTGGTGTCAGATGCTTAATAGGATTACAGTAGAACCAGTTATACTAAAAAACAGTTATCAAAATATTAAAAAAAAAAGTTCACAGACCTCAGATTAAGAACCTCTGGATAAGATCATTTCTAATGGCCCTTCCAGCTCTCAATCCTATGACTTGAGTCTCTCTTGCTTGTTTAGATCCTGGGGTCACATGGTTCTAGAGCCGGAACAGACCCCAGACTCCATCTAATCTGCTGCCCTGATCATTTTGCAGATGAAGAATAAGGAACAAACATGAGAAGTGGGATCTGAAGCCAGAGCCAATGCTTTTTCCCTTGTGCCTCAATACCTCACTGCATCTGGGGTCATCTCTAGTCATCCTGATTTATGTCTTGCCGCGGGACTCAGATGATGCTGGATGAGAGAGGGAGGCTGATGACTTAGTGATGCCTCACTAAGATCCAATTCACTTGCAAGTCAAGACATCACCCTCCTGATGTCATTGGTCCTTTGTGAGAGCAAAGGATGAACAAGCTCTCACTGAACGAGATTAATGTGACCAAGACACTGGAGTGTTGGGTTTGGTATGGACAAGCCCTGGGCTATCTCATTTGAACCTTACTGACAACTGATTGGATATAGGTGTCATGGGAGGGAGGAAAGCTAAGGAAGATACCAAGGGGAACTTAGGAGACCAGAAAGGTGGTGGCACACTTAAAAGAAACACAGAGCTTTGGAGAGACCCCTGCAAGTCTAAAATGGTACTTCATCCTTCCCTTATGTGGAGTGGCCTCCCTTTAAAAACAACAAATATAAGAAGTTCTGCTCATTTTGCTAATATTTGGGCTAAACCCCAGAGCATTTCTGGGGGAAAAGTTGCCAGAGACTGAATATATTAATGACTTAAATAAGGAACCTGTACACAGAGAGATGGCTTTTTATTAGCTTCTTCTACTGGCTAAAGATTCAGGCTTGTCTGAAGTAATCAGTTTATCCCCCTGGTTAGCTGCACCAGTTCAGAAAGGTTTAACTACAACAAAGTTCCCTGAGGTCAATGGGGTAGCACTTTATATTATATTACATGATATTATCTATTACATTATATTACATTATAGCATACATTACATTATATCATATTATGTTATATATTACTTTATATTATATTATATTATATAATATTACTTCATCATGCTATATAATTTTAATATTATATAATATTATATTATGTAATTATATTGCAATAGTATAACTCTTTACCAGATAACAGAGAATTTTGGGGACAACAGAGCTAGTCCACACCTTATAAAACTTTTTTCAAGGTAAAAGAGTCATAGGATCATAGATCTAGAGCTTTTGGAAGGGACCTCAGAGGACATCTAGTCCTGCCTCATCTTTTTCAAATTGTTTTGCAAATGAGGAAACTGAGACCTAGGAACATTAAGTGACTCACCTAAGATTAAGAGGTAGTCAGCACCAGAGGTAGGATTTGCACCCAGCTCCTCTGACTACAAAATAATAATAATAGCTATCATTTATATAGTGCTTACTATGTGCCAGGCACTGTGTTAAGCACTTTACAATTATTATCTCATTTGATCCTCACAACAACCCTGGCAAGTGGCTGCTATTATTATCCCCATTTACAGATGAGGAAAGTGAGGCAGGTAGAAGTTAAGTGACTTGACTAGAGTCGCACAGCTAGTAAGTGTGTGAGGTCACATTTGAACGCAGGTTTTCCTCATGCCAGGGCTAGTGCTGTGGGTACTATGCCTCCATCTGGCTGCTCCAGACTCAGTACTTTTTCTGCTGGACCACCCAAGAAGTTGAAATAATGAGTGATGGAGTAATTACATGTGTAGTCTATGTAAACACATGTACACAGAGTAAATATCATTGGAACTGCTCATAGACAAAAGATTAGCACTTGTCTGCTAATGGATAGTGCTGCTTACATAGTTTTCTTACCTTTATTTTCAAGGTTTTCAGTTCTCCCCATGATCTCATTTTCTGTGACCTGCAAATTCTGAATCAGGAAATAGGTGGTCATCTTCCCTTTCCCTTTCACTTCAATTTCACCCCTCTCAACGATCTCAAACCCATGATTTTCCAGAGCACTATAAAAAATAAAGAAGTCCATTATGCATCAAAGCCATCAGATGTGCAGGTTGGGCCATGGCACAAGTGTAAAGGATTGTCAGGCAGGAGATGCCTTGGAATCCGTGGCATATGCCAAATTACACATCCCTCTTACCAAAGGGCCCAAAGGAGAGGTGGAGAGAGGACAGGAATCTCATCCTTGAGAACAACCCTGTTGTTCCCATCACAACACAGAGTGATGGAGGAGGGTACTACAAGTGGCTTCCTACTAATCCTCTCTTCCTGACCACTTTCTGCCTCAAAGCTGGATCCTTCTTTTAAACAATCCCCCCTCTATTGAAAGAGAAATCACCGATGCAACACATAAGGGCATGAAATCATGTCTGAACATACCATTACTGTATATGGTTATGCTGACATCAGAACTTGTTTGATGCTTTCAAATCTCTCCATCCCTTTCCTCTGCCTTATCGGAGTTTGAAGTAGATGTTTCATTAAACATGTTAGATATAATATTGCTGGCTCCAAGAAAGATACAGTTACAGGATAAGGACAGAGTATGTTATCTTCTTTGTAATTCTATAAACCCCTTGAGGACAGGGACTGTGCTTTACTCAGGTTTATTGGAAGAATGAAGGAAGGGATGAATGGCTACCTGTATGCAGCGGGGCTGAGGTGTACTTTGTTGGGAAGCCCATGGCTCTCCATCCTGGAAGCTGTGTTCACTGTATCTCCAAACAAACAGTATCGGGGCATCTTGTCACCCACAACTCCAGCCAAAACTGGTCCTGTGTGGATCCCTACCCTGATCTAGAAAGAGAAGAATCTATTTAATCACAAATTACCTAATATTAGACACTTAAACTTTGTGAATTAGTTTTTGTCCCCACTATGAGATTATAAACTTATCAAGGACAAATAATTTGTTTTATATATCTTCATAACCACTACAGCACTTTGCACAATGACTGATACATCAAAGTCATTCAGTAAAGGCACAAAAGAGGTGCTTAATAATGTTTATTGACTGATTGGATAATCACTGAAAAATCAGGAATTCTCTGTAGGGGAGGACTTAGCAGCCTGCCTACTTCCACAAGATGTGACATCTACATGTAGAATGTAAGTTCCTTGGGGACAAGGACTGTTTTTCTTTTGTATTTGTATTTTTGGCATGTAGTATAGTAAATAGCACATAGTAGGTGCTTAATAAATATTTGATGTATTAAGTTGAGAGCATCTGAATTTTCTTCTTTCCTCTTTTGATTCCTCCCTCCCTTTGTTCCTTCCTTTCTTTGATACTACAACTTGAAGGCAAAGACTTTAAAGAGAATAGCAGGTTTAGGAAGTGAATAGCTAGTTAAGAAGTTGGTACCAAAAATAGAATTTGGATTTTTGGTTCATAGCTTAAAATACAAGAATGGCAGGCTCCTGGCCAGAAATGTATGGCCTCATAAGGACTGGTAAGAATGTCTTTGTGTCAGGCCTTGCTATACATGTCTGCACTCTTTCAACTGTTTTTCTTCTAAAATCCAGGGCTCTGATTTCAGCTCTGTTTATCTATCCTTGCCTTTCCCTCAAATTGCCTCTGACCTCTGTGTTTCATTTCAACTAAGATTATTTGGCTTATGTTTGTCTATAGCCACAAAAAATCCTCCCTCAAGTACACTCTGGTGCACTGGTGATTCTGCACTCTCGGAAGTTGTGCCAGCAGAACTCAAACCCTGGAAGATTCGGGGATTTAGAGCTGAAATGAATCTTAGAGGTCAACAAGTCTAACCCCCTCAAATTACAGATGAGGAAACTGGGTCCTGGAGAAGGTAACTGATTTGCTCAGAGCCATACAAGTAGTATGCCTGAGAGAGAGATTTGAATATCTTCCATTTAGGACAGGAAGCACAATGATTGAATTCTATAGCCATGCTCAATCCCCAAAAACCTTCAGTGGTCTCTATTCCTGCTCTAGAATCTATTGTGCTGTGTGCTGATGTCGTCATTTCCATAACCTTCCTGTCTAGCACTATGAAAAAGCTGAGCAGATGTTTCCATTAGTGACCAAGTGGTAGCAGCGAGGTCATCTGACTTTCTTACTACATTACTATCTCTGGTCCCTTTGGCTGCTGCCAGCTTCCTGTGTCAGGCCAGAACTGAAGATTATAAATCTTGATCTGTGAGAGACTTCAGAGGTCATGTAGTCCAACTGCATCACTTTACAGGTGTGGAAACTGAGGCCCAGAATGGTGAAGAAACTCGTTGAATGTAACATGTATAGTAAGTAGCAGAACTGCAGATTGAACTCAGGTCCTGCGACTCCAAATTTGGTGCTCTCTCCATTGGGCCGCACTGCTTCCTGAGCAATGCACATCCTCCACAAAAGGGAAATATTGATTTTTTTTTTTAGTAAATATGATCAACCCATGAATAAAATAAAGTAAATGTATGCTCTAAAACATGAAGTAGAAAGGACATGGCTTATGGTACGGTGGATAGAACTTCTTGATACTAGCCATGTAACCAAGGACAAGCAATTTTACCTCTCTGGGCCTCAATTTCCTCATCTGCAAAATGAAAGGATTAGACTAAATGACCCCCAATGTCCTTCCTAGTTCTAAATCTATGATCCTATGAGAAATAAGCCCTACATATCTCCAAATAAGAAAAAAGAACAGAGCTCTTCGATTCTGCCCTTGTTTACAGGAAATAGGATTCTTGCAGTGGAGTTACACAGAGATCTAAATATTCTCCAGTCACTTCCAAGAACCTAATTTAAGTTGTGGTGAATTTGGGCCAGCAACCTGCTAATTTCTCTGTTATTTGGGAGCGTGCTCCAAAGAGAGGGGTAGTCTGAACAAATCACACCGTTTCAAGACCTGCCTGTGCACCAACGAAGGAAATGCAATGCTGTCATGGAATGCTTCCCATCATGCTGAGCACTCATCTGCTTGGTACCTGGATGGGCTCTCTGGTGACAGGATTCATCACTTCTCTTGCAGAAATTCTCATCCCCAGGGCAAAATTAGCGACTCTCTGAGCATGGTTTTCCACAGGCACTGGCACCCCACCAACCACCATGTATGCATCGCCTATCGTCTCCACCTGGGAGGGAAAAGGGAGCCTGGTCAGCTTCTGTTTTTCACAAAAGACAGCTCGCATATTTCACCATTTTCCCTTGTATTGGTACCAAGGACCAAGTGACAATTTGTGACTCTTTGCTGAAGGGGAGGTGCAAAGGATATGGAGAGCCAACAAGGCCATTCTGCTTTTCACTGGGAACAAATCTTGGAGAAAATGAATTTCCTGGTGTGGCCATATGGTGCTCTACATTGAATAGCAAATTATGGGGAGTGGACCTTCTGCTAAACTGGAGGAGGAAGAGAACGCTCTCTGAGATTAAAGTGGTCTCTTCTAGGAGGCTCTTTAACTCTTCCAAGGCACAAGAATTACATTTGAGTGATGTGCTTTTCTTAGGTCTCCAAAAGGGGATCCTGACTGAGAGTCATAACTAATCATTTTAGTACCCAGTGAAAACAATAATAAATAGCCCTCCAAATCAACTTTGTAATTCAAGATTATTTCAGTTATTAAGAATGGGGAATTGGGTGTTATAGTGATTCATAGATAGATATTATGAACAACGCTGGTGATTAGTAGTTTCCTATTTTAACAAATTATTTTTGCCAACTAGATGCTAGGCTCCTAGTTAGCAACTAAATAATTTGGAAGAAGCACGTGTGTTAATTTTTTGTGTCCCCTAAATTTTGGCACACTTAGGCAAAACCCTGGTTGTGCTGTCCTACTTATGATTCTGTTGATAGAGTGAAATATCCTCATCCAATTTTTAAAAAAAGGGGGGAAGAGAAGGAAACAGAAGAGAAGGAAAGAATGAAAAAAAGAGAATAAAGGATGGCCAAGGGAAACTCATGGTAAACTACATACATTATACAACAAAAATGAATTTTATGGAATTTTAAAATCTACTACTTGGTATGCAAAATCTTACTTTGTAGACATCATGGACATTGGTTAACCGGTCAAATTTTGAGTACATTGAGTTCAACATATTCACTATTTGGATAGGCTCACAGGCAGCACATATATTGGTAAATGTCACCACATCACTGAAAAGAATGGTGCATGTTTTAAATTCTCCTGCAACAGAAATTGGATATTAGGTATCAATGTCTGAATAGTGGTACAATGGTTAAATATTCCAATATTAAGGCATTAGTTAAATTCTCTTGGAATACAATTCTTTTTAACAAAGTCTACTTGGATCAAGCATTAGTGGTTTCATGAGGGCAGAGGAGAGTAGAAGGAGAATGAGGAAGAAGAAAATGATGAAGAGGAAGAAACAAGCATTTATTAAGTGCCTACTGTGTGTGAGGCACTGTGCCAAGTACTTAACAAATATTATCTCATTACTTCAACCACAGGAGATAAGTGCTATTATTATCCCCATTTTACAGTTGAGGAAACTGGGGGAAACAGGTTAAATGATTTGCCCAGGGTCACATAGCTAATGTGACTAATAGCTAATAAGTATCTGAGGTTAGATTTGAACTCAGGTCTTCTTAATTCCAGGCCAAGCACTCTTTTCTCTGTACCACATAGCTGCCTAGGAGGAAAAAAGGAGCTGAAAGTAGAAGAGTGTGGGGAAGGGAAGAAGAAGGAGGAAACAAATGAAGAAGTAGTAATGGCGACACTGGTGATGACTTAGATGTGTGGGACAATGCTTAGGCTTGGCTGAAGGGAGAGCTGCTCTCCAGAGGGTCACATACTCCAGTCACCTGGGAACAAAGAGAGTGCAGCACAGGGCACATTTTGAAACAGAGGATCATGCTAAGAATGCAAGATGGCTCCCCAAACTGGTTGGAGGGTCATGTAACCTCTGCCCGCTTTGCCCAAAGGGCAGAAAGGAAGTACTTTCAAGAGCATTGAGAAAAGAATCTCTAAGTATTAATATATCCCTGTGCCCATTATGTTATAAGTACCTCTAATAATAAAGTTTCTAACAGCTAACTATGTCACTAGAATACATCAGCAGCCACAGAAATATTACTGTATGTTTTACTTGTCAATACCATTGTTCCCAAAAGTTTTCCCTTACTGAGCTGAGATTAACAAACTTTTATGTGTATGGTATGGTTTTTGACCCTTTCAAGTCAAGAAGGTACTATTTAATGTCCAAATTAATTCTACATATATTTTTATTAAATTTATTATTTCTACATATTTGTTTAATTCTACATATATTTGTTTATTAGATTTCTATTGATCCTTCCCTTCAAAGATGCAGTAGGAAATAGACCTGTGATTTCATCAATATAGAGAACTAGAGAAGGAAACTCTGCTACCAATGCAAATTACAGTCTTAGAGAGTTGTCTAGACACTAGAGCACAGAGAATATGAGGCACTTGCCCAGGGTTACATAGCCCATATATGAAGTGGCACTTGGAGGCAGGTCTTCCTGGCCCTGAGTCTGGCTCTCTGTCCACTGCCTCTCACATCTCTCCAAAGGTCTCAACTCAATGTCATCCAAGGCCTGAAAGAGCTAATGAACTTCTGAGAGAACCACCTTAAACATTGATCTAAAAACCCAGTTTTCTATTAAAATATTGGATTTTTAAAAATGGTTTGTTTTAGAAAAGCTACTGGCCTTTTTGAAACATTTCTTTTCTAATTTGAGATTTTTGTAACTGTGAGAAGCAAGTGATAAGAGTTAATAGGATCATAAATCTAGAGTAGGAATGGAGGCTATCCTCAGAGGTCATCTACACTTCAACCCTTCTTTTTTACAGAAAAAGAAGCTGAGGCCCAGGAAAGTTAAGTGACTTGCCTGAGTTTACATAGGTAGTAAGAATCAGAGGTGAGATTAGAACCCAGAACTTCTGATTCTAGTCATGCTCTTTCCACCACACTATATTGCCTCTCGAGTTACTAAGTCCTGATTGGATGCCAATTTCAGTTCACATGAGACCCGGCTAAGGGATTTTGAATAGAAATGGAGATGAGGGGTCATTTCAGATCTCTTTCCAAATAGACTACTGGAATGCTCCTGAATGTAGCATGAGAATGTTTTTGTGTGTTTCTAAGGGAGGCAGAATAGACATCTCTAGCCTCTTCTCTTCCCACCCTTCTCTAAAGGAGACTTTGGGGAAGCAGGAAGTTGGGGCCAGAAGCTGACCACTCTTCTCTTCTCAGAGAGAGGGGCATACAAATATATCTGTCTTATCTCTTAAATATTGTTAGTTAAAAGATACAATTTTCAAGTTCGAAATAAACTTTGGATCATTATTCATCAAAGAGGAAAGGAGGACCTCAAGCTTTATATCCAAGTCTTGACTTCCTTCCCAAATACCATTTCCACCACAAAATAGCAACTAGCAAAGATACTTATTTATCTACATTGATAGCAAAACAAAAATCAGAGAAAGTATAAATTGGAGATTATATGCCAGACAATACGGAATGAAGGAGATTTGGGTGCAGAATAACTTAGTTCAATCAAGAGAGAGAGTTCTAGATCTCACTCAAGGGGAGATATCCTGAAATTTCTAGTGTAGCAACATGGGGGTAAGGACATGATGGAGCCTGCCAACTCCTCTCATGTCATTTTCTTCCTACAGTCTTACTCTCCTTTCAGCAATCTGAAGTTGGATTAATCAAGGCTTAACATCATTCATCTCTCAAAGCTGGAGGCCAGAAGTAATCAAAGGGATGGTAGAGCCTGAAAAGGCTGAGACTTAAAGAAACAGACAAGACTGAAGAGATTTTTCTCTCTCTTCTCTCCAACTCTACACTATGCCATGTAGGCATGGAGTATTGATCTACACCAGTGAGGAAAGATTCTCATACCAATTAGCTTTATGACTTGGGTTACACTGCCATGGATACTTCTGATTCAGTTCAATTCAGCAGACATGTTAAATACTTTGTATTATATTATTATTATTATTGAACTTCCCCATAGTATTTTTTTATGATGCCCAACTCTAAATTGATGACCCTATATTATTATACCTCCTCATTGACATCAAATTAAGTAGGTGAAGAGAAATAAAGATGGAAAAGTTTCCTTAAGAATCATAGTTGTAAGTTGGAACAAACCCTAGAGTTTTATCTAATCTGACCTCTTCAATTTACAGTTGAGGAATCTGAGACTCAGAGAAGCTAAATGACCTACCCATCATCATGAGGAATTTAGTGGTACCCAGGACCTCTAGATCCACATTCAATGTTGTTTCCACTAGGAAACATTGTCTTGAAAAGAGTGAAAGTTTAGTGAGAAAAGATTCTACCTTGTTATTTACTTCAGTAAAACTTATTCTATTAAAGCATCATTTTTAATACTCTGAATTTGTAGTTTAGTGATACGAGAGGCAGTGTGGTATCATGTAAAGAACAGGGAATTTGGAGACAAAAGATCTGGATTTAAATTCTGAGTATGGTCCTTCCTACCTCCATGAGCTCAGGTACCCTCTGGACCTTGGTTTCCCCATTTGTAAAATGAGAAGATTGAACTAGATGATCTTTAAAATCCCCTTCAGATTAAAATCCTATCACAATATTAATCTTATCTGTTTTAATAAGGAGGTCCATGTTTGGAGGGAAAAAAAAAAGAAAAGACTGGGCAATCATCCTAATTCCTTTCTCCTAGTTACTCATGTTAAAATCTGAATGCTTGAGTCATGAGGCCATAAATAAGGCACTGTGCTCACTTGGTGGTAGTACCCTCATTGCAGTTATTTCCAAGGGGAAATAAATACTTGAGGGTTAAAAGTGAGATTATTTATGACAAATATCAAAGGCCTTCACCATCCAGGAATAACTTGCCCACCCAGATTCTCCCTGAGTTAAATTTGGAGCAATTATGTCATTTTCTATTCAACAAAGAAGGAAATTGAAACATCAATACGGTGCCACTCATGACCAGTCAGTGATAGAGTAAGCTTCCAACTCTAACCCTAAGTCCTTGCATGAGATGAATCAAATTCAGTACCTGCTGCTACCTTTTTGCCTTCTTTCAGCTGGTTTGCTATATGCTCAGGAAGCATTGCATACAACAATGTTTCCGTTTTCTTCTTTTCTATAGCTAAATGTTTGGAGAGGATCCGGAGCTCTTCTTTCTTTCTCTCAAGCTGGTTAGACAATTCAATTTCAGCCAATCTCTGCTGGTTCAGAAGTATAAGATCCCTGGTGGTATCGTGTCTGGCAATGTCAGAGATGTGCATGTTCCGCTCCTCCAGCTCCTGGAGGCTTCGGAGTTTGGGCGAGCAGAGATATATCATGCATTGCAGGGACTCCATCCAGATCATCTGCCCTTTGAAAATAGAACAGAAAGAAGCAATAATGTACTAAATGCCCACTACTGTTGGGAGATGAGGAGTACCACAAAGGTGAGCTTTCCAGGCAACTGACCCTTTTAAGTATTTTATAGCAATAATTATGAAATATAATATTTACTTCCCCAATTTATTAAATGAAGGCTCCTGAGCATAATTTAAACTTTTCTTAATGACAAGATTGTCAAGAGATGAGAGAAAGCCTGACACAGAGGAAAAAGTATATTGGGAGTCATAGGACCAGGGTTCAGAGCTCCACTCTTGCACGGATGAGATCTCAGGCAATTCACTTCACTTTTCTAGCCCTCCATTTTTTCATCTGTAAAAATTAAAAGGTTGGACCAGGAGATCTGTAAGGTTCCTTTTGACTTCTAAATCCTGGAAATGATTATGAACACTGTAGGATAATAAATTTAAAGCTAAAAGTGGACCAAGGAGCCATGAAGTCCAATCCCCTCATTATACAGGTGAGAAAACAGACCCAAAGCAGTTTAGTGACTGACCTAAGATCACAAATATCAGAACTGAGATTTGAACCCAAGTCCTTTGACCCCAAGTCTAATGTTACTTCCATTGTACCACCCTGCTTTTGTAATTCAGTGAATTCTTTGGAAATGATTAAAGGTTTGCTTCCATGCTAAATGGTTACATTCAATTTATGTTTTATATTGTATTTTGGTTTTCTTCTTCACTGTCACCTGAACTCCAGACCATATTTCTATCTATCGGGTATGTCCACTTACATGTTCTGCTAAATATCATACTCAGTACATTCAAATAAAATATTGTCCTCCCTCTCCATACTCTATTTTCTATGCTAAGACATAATAAGTCTTCTATTCACTCAGGCTTAATACTTTGGAATAATTTTTAACTTCTCCTTTACCTCTGATATCCTGTCAATCACCAAGTATTTTCACTTCTTCCTTCAAAACATTTCTCATAACTGTGTCTTCCTTTGCATTTCCACTGGCTGGTCCAGACCTGCATTGTCTCTCACATGAGTTTTTACAACAACTCTAAAGCCAGCCTCTCTGACCCCAGTATTTCCTGATGCAAATAATATATTTGGCTTTTCAACTAATCTTACTCAAACATCATTTTCACTAAGACATTTCTCTGCTTTGTTCAAAGTGGAAATATCTATCAGCATCTCCTACCATGTTGGATGGGCTATTTTTTTCCCTCAAACTATTCTTGAGTCTTTGTTGACTGAGGGGATTAAGGTTAAACTTGTTTGTGTGGCTTTCTATTCACCTAAATACAAAAAGCCATGAAGAACTCCAGCAGCAACCTGAGGGTTGACCAGCAGGCTACCATGGGCAACACAAAGACAGGGAATTATGTGTAATTGAATCAACATTCTATCTTTAGTTGAGTATCTTTTCCCAGTTCTGAATGTCTTTTTTCCTGCTAAGTAAATTTTGTTGATAATTAGATGGACTAATGAATATTTTACTTCATTCCTGTTTCTAGTTACCAACTTGACCTGATCAACCCAATCAGTCAGTCAGTGAGTATCTACTATGAAGCACCGTAGCTTAGCACTAGACTAAAGCTAGAGATACAAAAAGAGGCAAAAGAACTTACAATCTAATTGGGAGCTTACTATACTCCCTATTGTCTGCCTTTATTAAATCTAAAATTCCTTTTCCTGGTTTTCAAGGGCCTCTATAATTTATCCTCACTCACATTGCCTTTTCCATTTTATTTCCACTATTCCTCTAGTCAATGCTCCACCATATTATGAAACATTATGATCATTCTCACCTGTTACAAAGAGGCAGTATCATGTGGAAACAGCACTAAATTTGACACCAGAAAATTTGAGTTTGAATCCTGGTTTTACTTATTATTTGCCAATTCTTGGGCAAGTCACTTTCCCTCTCTAGTCTTTAGTTTTGTTATTTGTAAAATGAAGGGTTGGGACTAAATTATCTATAAGGTGTCTTTTAGCATGACTGTGATTCCATTTATGTTGTTCTTTCCACCTGGCATACTCTACTCCATGTACCCAAATTCTTTAAGACTGAAGTTACAGACCTCCTGAAAAACGTCCAGAAAATATAGAGCCTGGTCCCTCATTCTCTTCGATCCTCTCAGAAGATTATTTGGAAGCCATGGGCACAGTCCTTTATGTGGTCATAGTTTTTTAACATGTTTATCTTTCCTTAAGTCTTAAAACCCCTACCCTAGTTCTTTATCCTTATTATGGGCTCCAATGCCTTTACCCTCGACTCCTAATTTCTTTCCCAGATGATAACTCCTGTGTGGGCTACACTCTCCTCTATTCCTGACCTTGGGGAATTCACCTCCCACGGGGCAAATCAGTTCAATTCTACACTACTGTCTAAACTTAATTCCCTTGCTATGTTGCTAATTGTGCCTTGGACTACTCCCACTGTCTGCCTCTTTTGCTTCTATTGATTTCTATATCGATATATCCAGCCCTAGTTTCTCTCCTGAGCTATAGTCACACATCTCTAACTGCCTCTTAGACATCTTAAACTGAATGCCCCATAGATATAGCAAGTTAAATAGGTCCAAAACAGAGCTATCATCTTTTTCCTAAGACTCTCCTCTCTTTTAGACTTTTCTGTTATTGTTAAAGGCACCACCATTCTCCCAGTTCACAACCTTAATATCATCCTTGGCTGCCCATTCTCACTCATCCTACATATCTAATGTGTTGTCAAGCCATGTCATTCTACTCTCACAAATTCGGTTGTATATGGCCCTTTCTCTCCAGTCACAAAATTACCACCCTGGTACAGGCCCTTCTCACCTCACACCTGGACTTTTATAATAGCCTTCCAGTTGGTCTCCCTCTGTCTCAAGTCTCTCCCCACTGCAATCCACTCTCCACTCAGACACAGAAATGATTTTTTCAAAAACATAGGTCTGACCATGTCACATCACCTCCCCCCACCCACTCAATAAACTCTAGTAGCTCCTTATTACATCCAGAATCAAATATAAAATACTTGTTTGGCTCTTATAGCCTTTCACAGATTGACTCTTTCCTGCCTTTCCTATCTTCTTATACTTTACTCACTTCCAAAAACTGTATAATCCAGCAACAACTGCCTTCTTATTCCTCACACATAACACTCTATCTCTCTCAACCACATAGCTTTGCATTGGCTATCTCCAATGCTCTTCCCCTCTCCTCTACCCCTGTCTTTCCTGGCCTCCCAACTTAGCTCAAATTCTACCTTCTGCAAAAGGACTTTTTCCAGTCCATCCTATTGCTAGTGCCTTCCCTTTGAAATTTGTGATTCTTGTTTTTATATAGTACATATCTTGTATATTCATAGTTACTTGTATATTTTCTCCAGCATAAAAATAAGCTCCTTAAGGGCAGAGACTGTGTTTTTGCCTGTCTTTGCACCTGAAGCATTTAGCATGATGTCTGACACATAGTAAATGTTTAATGAAGACTAAACTGACTGACTGACTGAGTGGTTGATTGACTAACGGTGCTAGAAGGGATGTCCAAGGATTCAATGTCAACACTGAGGAGCCTCAGTGAGAGTCAGAAGATATGGGGATCATGAGAGGAATAGGTCCCAAATTAAAGGATGTTGACTAATAAAATATAGAATAAGAGTTCCAGAGGACATAGTGGAAGAAGCAGGCAGATACTGAGTGGGACATTGTGAGGGTAGGTTGAAGTAGATGAGGATGAGAGAGAAAGCACCCAATAATAAATTATAATAATAGCTTATATTTATGCAATACTTCCCAATGTGCTAAATATATTTATCACAACTGCCTTGAGTGGTTGATAGTATAAGTATTATTAATCCCATTTTATAGGTATGGAAACTAAGGCACAGAAATAATGGTAACATAGCTAGAAGAAACAAGTCTTCTATCTCAAAGCCCTGTGCTGCTTTCAAATGTTCCCATACATGTTACAATCAATAACTGTGGATTGATAGACTTATGTTTATTCATTCACCATGTTTCACCTCGTCTCACATGTGACCAGTGGTCTGCATTTGCAGTACATTTGACCGTGAGCAGGTCAGTCTATGGCCATGCAAAAAAGTGGAACTAATTGGTCTACATCCTGCTCCATAGTCAGAGACTGAATTGTTAATTCCACACTCACCAATATGTACCACAGGGGAAAACAGAAAAGACAGTGTGACTGAAGCAGTCCAAACCTCTATCACCACCAGAAAAACAAATTCGGAGTTCATGACCTATGAACTGTAGAAGAACAGAAGCATCTGGTTTGTACCAATTGTGGAGTGTTCATTCTGAAGACCAATAACAATCAAAATAATAATCTCTGTGTAGACCTATTAGAGTACAGAATTTTAGAATCCATTTACTTTACACACAGAATAAGGATGGTCTAAGCAAGGAGAGAAGTTAGTGCTTAACAGCTAGGTTTAATTGAGTGATCCAGAAAAAAAAAACTTTCAGTGTGAGTCCACACCCCACTTTCATCCAACATATAATGATAAAATTCTGTCTCTTCCTCTCTGATGAACCTCCTCAGACTCTGATGAATATGCCTCAAACAGACACGCAGAAGGGAATGGTGGTAACTCAATACCTCTGAGTTTGAGCGCAGGCTGTTTTTTCCATGCTTCTGGCATCATTTCTCTTCGAGTTTTCAAGACAAATTGACTATTGATAAACTTGCAGATGCTGAGAATGTTGAAGGTGACTTGGGGATGGATGATGGTGAAATAGTCATCAACCCGAATATCCTGGGTTTGGAGTCCTGGGACATATTTTTGAATGTTTACTCCAGCTTGCTTGACCCTTAGCTACTCACAAAGGACAAACAGAAAGGTTAATGAGTCAGGAAGTTAATTTGCAGTAAGAGTTCTTTCTTAGAAATAATATTCTAATTAAGCTTTATAACTCACTTACTTCCCCAAGGATAAAAAGCATCAAATAAAAAAAAAGAATCCTTGTGAAAGCAATAAGGATCTTTTTTAAAAAATCTGCAAATAATAAAAACTTTGAAAGAAAGAAAAGAAACAGGAAAGGGAAAAAAGATCAGTAAAACATAGTTGGGGTAAAAATAATTACTTAAGCCCAATTCTCCCCATCTAATTGTGCTGGGCACACGCAGTGTCCCCTCCAGAGGTACAGAATAAGATCATAGATATAAAGCTGAAAGGGACCAAGGAGGCCACTTAAGCTAGCCCCCGCCTTCAGCTAAGGAAACTGAGTCCTAGGAAGATTAAATATATTGCCTAAGGTCACAAAGTGAATAAAGGATCTGAATACAGCCACTCTGAGTCAAGAGCAGGTATTCTTTCTCTTGTACCATACTTGCCTCCCTGTTCTTTCAGACAGAGAAATTCTGTCACTTTTGCATAGATTCCATAGTTCACGCACTGGGTATAACAGAGCAAGACTGGACAATAATATCTCCATGGGAAGGTGAAAGTCCAGCTCAGGATTCATCAAAGACATTTATATGCAGGGTGCTTACATGTTTTCCCAATTAGAATGGAAGTTCTTTGAGGGCTGGGACTGTCTTTGCTTTCATATTTGTATTTTAGTTGGTACTTATATACATAATTTTGTATTTTGTATTTTCAGCACAGCCCAGTCTTTGCCATATAGTAAGTGCTGAATAAATATTTTTTTTCTTTCATTCATTTTACTGAGGAGATATCATATGCCCAGGCATAAAAGATAATTTATGGAGGGGTAGAACTGCAACAACTTGGTAGAAAAGGAAAAACTTTATGGAGGAGATAGAGTTTAGCTCTGAAGGAAGATGAAGATTCTGACAGGTAGAGACGAGGAAGAAGAGCTTTGTAGGCATGGAGTGGTGGCTTATGAAAGTACACGGAGGCAGTAGATATAATGTTAAATGTAGGAAATAGCTAGAAGTCATGTGGCTAACAATTAGAACATGTGAAGGGCAGGAAGGTGAAGTAAGATTGCAACTGTATGTAAGAGCCAGGTTGTTGGGGGCCTTGATTGTGAGAGTGAGGAGCTTGCATTTTATCCTAAGGCAATAATAGTGAGTCATTGAAGGTTTTTGAATGGGGTAGGGACTTGGTTAGATTGAAGCTTCAGTAGGAATAAAATTGATATATGTAACTTTGTAAGTGATCTCTGAGTATTTAATAATAGCTAGTATGAAAGTTGGCAAAACACTTTACAGATATTATCTCCTTTTATCTTTACGACAACCCTGAGAGGTAGGTGAATGAATCTCTTCATGAACAAATGTCATTCCATGTTCATGTATTTTATCCAAGGAATCTAACAAAGGCGAACCTTCAGAATCCTCACAAAATTCTGGTGCTTCACTACAATTATGGGGGGATTGGCATTTGGTTTTTTTTTTCACTTAAAAAGTGAATTTGTATTGTATTATTTGTAATGAGGATAAACTAAAAGCCTCCCTAGTAAGATCAAGTGTGAAACAAGGATGCTCATTTTCACTAACATTATTCAATATTGTGCTGGAAATCATAGCAAGAAGAGAAGAAAAATAAATAGGAGGAATAAGAATAGGGAACGTGGTAATAAAACTATCTCTTTTTGCAGATGACATGATGACATACTCAGAAAATTCCAAAGACTCAACTAAAAAGTTGGTTGAAACAATTAATAATTTTAGCAAAGTAGGAGGATATAAAGTAAATCCACATAAATCACCAGCATTCCTATATATCACAAACAAAGTTCTTTAAGAAGAGATAGTAAAAGATACCCCATTTAAAATAACTCTAGACAGTATAAAATACCTGGGAGTACACCTACCAAAACAAACCCAAGAACTATATAAAGAAAATTATAGAAAAAAGCTTTTATACAAATAAAATCAGATTTAAATAATTGGAGAAATATTGTTTATGGGTAGGCAGGGCCAATATAATAAAATGACAATTTTACCTAATTAAATTACCAAAAACTATTTTACTGAATTAGGAAAAAAATAATGAAATTCATTTGGAAGAACAAAAAGTCAAGTATATCAAAGGAAATAATGAAAAAAAATGTGAATGGAATGAAGTTTAGCAGTACCAGATCTTAAACTATATTATAAAGCAGCAATTATCTGATACTAGCCAAGATATAGAAACGTAGATCAACAAAAGAGAGTAGACATATAATGTATAGCAGCAAATAAACATAACAACTTTGTATTTGACAAGTGTAAAGACTTAAGATTTTGGGATAAGAATTCATTATTTGGTAAAAATTGTTGGGAAAACTGAAAAGCAATACAGCAGAAACTGGGCCTAGACCAAAATTGTACACCATATACCAAGATAAGGTCAAAATGGGTACTTGACCAAGATATAAAGAGAGATATAAGAAAATTAGAGGAACACGGAACATGTTACTTATTAGACTTATGGATAGGCAAACAATTTATAAATAAACAAGAAACAGAAAACAAAGTTAGGTATAAAATGGATAATTTTATTACATTAAATTAAAAAGTTTTTGTAAAAATGAGACAAACGTAGGCAAGAGCAGAAGAAAAGCAGAAAATTGGGGAAATATGTATAGACAATTTATCAGATAATGGTCTTATATCAAAAATATATAAAGAACTTTGTTAAATCTGTAGGAATACGAGTCATGCCCCAAATGATAAATGGTTAAAGGATATGAACAGGTAGTTTTCCAATGAAGAAATCAAAACAATTTACAGTCATATGAAAAAGTGCTCTAAATCATTATTGATTAGAGAAATGCAAGTTACAACAACCTTGAGATGTAATTTTACACTTACCAGATTGGCTAAAATGATAGGAGGGGAAAGTGACAAATGTTGGAGGAGATGTGGAAAAATTGGGACACTAATTCATTGTTGGTGGAATTGTGAACTGATCCAACCATTTTGGAGAGCAATCTGGAATTATACCCAGTTATTAAACTACCTATACCCTTTGACCCGGCAATACCACTACTAGGTCTATTGCCAAAAATGATTAGGTAAGAAGGAGAAGAACCTGTGTTCTCAAAATGTTTATAGCAGCTCTCTTTGTAATGGCAAAGAACTGGAAATTGCAGATTTATCCATCAATTGGGGAATAGCTGAACAAGTTGGGGTATATGATTATTATGGAATATTACTGTGCTGTAAGAAATGATGAGCTCAGTGATCTTAGAAAAACATGGAAAGACTTGCATGAAATAATGAAGAGTGAAATGAGCAGAACCAAAAGAACATTGTATAAAGTAATAGCAATATTGTTTTAAGAATGACTTTGAGTAAGGGCAGTTAGGTGGTATAGTGGATAGAGCACTGGCCCTGAAGTCAGGAGGACCTGAGTTCAAATTCAGACACATAACACTCATTAGCTGTGTGACTCTGGGCAAGTCACTTAACCCCAATTACCTCACCAAAAAAAATGATTTTGAGTGAATAAGTTGTTTTGACTATTATAAATGCCCAAATTAACTGTAAAGGACACATGAAGAACGCTATCTGTATCCTGAGAGGAGTATCTGAGAAAGAAGAGATCAAAAGCCTAGGGACATGGATGCCAAAGATTTAACTAAAAAACTCAAGGCAGATATCACTTGTTCCATCTACCTGGGCTACTTCACTGACCCAGTGACTGTCAATTGTGGCCATAGCTTTTACACAGGGTGTCCTATCCAGTACAGGGAGGGAGCCCATGAAACATTAACCTGCCCAAAACGCAGAGAAGTCAACAAATACAACGGTGACCTGGTGACCACAAGGAACTTGCAGAATCTGTCTGTCACTGCCAAAATGCTCAGCCCTCATTTACTACAGACCACTTGTGATCAACATGGGGAAAGGGAGGTCTTCTGTGAGGAATATCAGAGAATCCTCTGTGATTCCTGTTCACTAGCCCCAGAGCACAAGGATCACCAAGTTCTACCCTTGGAAAAGGCTGCTGCCAAGTGCAAGGAGAAGCTCTGGTAGATAGGGAGTATCTCACAAGAAGAGGAATTTCACATTGCATTAGACAGAATTTTTTTTAAAATTTGAAAATTGTTTAAAAAAATAAAAAAAGAAATTTTGTTTTGAATGGGACCTGTGATTTTGTGGGTACTGGGATGTCCTAGTGAAGAAACTTCCTCTGTCAAGGCAGATCCGCATCCATGCTGTAATTTACCTTGGAATGATGTCAAACTCAAATAGAAACAAATCTTGACTTAAAAACCACAAATTAACATTATCTACGTTGTATTGTATTTTTATTTGTTAAATATTTCCTGATTAAATTTTAATCTGGTTCCTGGACTCACTTGAGAGTTTTGTAAACCCTGCTGGCCCTCTGGAGCATTGTCTGAGATACTGAAAGATTAAATAGTTTTCCCAGGACCACATAAGCCAAGTGTCTCAGAGATGGAACTTGAACCTGTATCTTTCTGACTCCTAAGGTTAGCTTGCAAGCGACTGCCCCTTCTCCCCCTTCCCTTCCCCCTTCTCCTCTCCCTCTCCCTCTTTCCCTCCCCTCCCCCTCTTCCTCTACTTTCTGTATATGGAAAAACTGAGGCACTGCAGTATTACCTAATTTAGGTAAGGCTGAACACACAAGTCATACAAGTTTTAGCTAAGCAAAAACCCCTCACTAAGAGTTAGTGCTATGTGGTTTCGCTTTATGAAAAGCACCACTTAATTATTATTATTAAATTATTCAAATTTGATCATAATTATTAACAATATTATTTTTAAATTATTTAAAGTGCCACTTTTCATAAAGTGAGCCCTTTTGCTCTCACATCACCAGTAACAATCCAAAAGAAGGTTAAAAAAAGAGGGTTTCTCTTACTGTAGCATCAAAGACAATGTGGAAGGGAAAAGCATTGCAGAAAGTTTTCTCTTCAATCCAAAGCCTTTCTGGATACACTGGCTCAAAAATATTTTGTAGGTTCCCTGTAGGAGAAGGAAAACAAGTCCCAAGTTTCCCTATTAAACCTCTGCCACCTCTTTTTTTTTTTAACAGTAAAGATTGAAATGTCATTTGAAGGGAGGGTTCGGGAGCACTATAGAATCTCATTTTGGAAAGGATCTCGGAGGTCACCTAGTCCACAACCCCTAACCAAATCTTCATTGCTTTCTTTCACATCTGTAATAAGTGTAATAAGTCATCCAGCCTCTGATTGAAAATTTCCCATGGCGGAGAACCTATGGCCTCCTAAGGCAGCCCAGTACACTTTGGACAGCTTCTAATCCTTAGGGATTTTTTTCCTTAGGTTGAGCTGAAGTCTGTCTTTCAGCACAGGCAGCTGGGTGGTGTGCTGCCTGGAAGATCTGAGTTAAAATCTGACCTCAGACCATGACTAGCTGTGTGATCCTGGGCAAGTCACTTAACCTCTACCTGCCTCAGTTTCCTCATCTGTAAAATGAGAGTAATAATAGCACCTACTTCCCAGAGCTGCTATGAGGATCAATTGAGATAATAACTGTAAGATGTTTAGCCCAGTGCCTGGTACATAATAAATACTCAGTAATATAATAGCTAGCATTTATATACTGCTTACTACATGCCAGGCACCGCGCTAAGTGCTTTACAGACATTATCTCATTTGATCCTCACAACATCCCTAGGATGTATCTTCTATTATTATCCTCATTTTACAGTTGAAGAAACTGAGGCAGACAGGTTGACTTGCCCAAGGTCATATAGCTACTGAGTTTCTAAGACTAGATTTGACCTTATGTCTTCCTCGCTCCAAGCCCAGTGCTCTATCCACTGCATAACCTAGCTGCCCCTAATAAATGTTGTTGTTCTTCTTTTCTTCCTCTTCCTCCTTTCTTCTTCTTTTTCTCCTCCTTTTTATCCTTCTCCTTCTCCTCCTTCTTCTCCTTCTCCTTTATTCTTTCTCTTCTTCCTTATTCCTCTTCTTCCTCTTCCTTCTTCTTCTCCTCCTTTTCCTCCTCCTCTTTTCATCTTCCTCCTCCTTTTCCTCCTCCTCTTTTCTTCTTCTTCCTCCTCTTCTTCCTCTTCCTCCTCCTCTTTTCTTCTTCCTCTTCTTTCTTCTTCTTCTTCTCCTTCTCCTCCTACATCTTCTCTTCTTCTTCTTCCTCCTCTTCCTCCTCCTCCTCCTCCTCTTCTTCTTCTTCTTCTTCCACACATTGTTTCCATTTTTGCCCCCTCCCATGACAAAATGAGTCTAATTGTTCTTCCATATAGTAGCCTTTCTGCCACTCGGAAACACTGATTATGTCCACTCTCCCTAAGTCTTCTCTTCAGGCTAAATACCCACAGTGCCTTTTGACCAATCCATATAGGACATAGCTTCCAGTTCTTTCCTTGTCCTCTCTGAACAAGGAATGTGAGTATACAGTTCCTTAAATGGGAGGCCCATAATTGGATACAAAATTCTGCTCTTATGTCTATGCTTAAGCTCCCTTAAATTCACTTCTTAGTGTAAGCTCTTTCAGAGTCTCCAGATGGCCAGGGAGAATCTTTTTCCAAATTAAAACAAACAAAAAAATACTTGCTACTGGATTGAGAAGCCCTCCTGCCCCATGCCAAGTTTCTGCCCAGAGAAGAGGTTTGGGTTTTTTTTTTGGCTAATTGAATATCTTAATGAAAACAGAATTAGCATTGAAAATGCTGACAGAATAGATAATGATCGCACACGGCCCTGCTCCTGCTATTCAAAGCTGTCTCTGTGGTGCCTAGTCCAGCTTCGGTGACATTTGCCATGGGTTTTCTTTCTTTCTTTCTTTTTTTTCCTAGACTGACAGCATTGGGTAGCACATGAAATTTTAACCAACAGCCTACTTTGGCAGGGGGTAGCAATCCAAAACAGAGGCTTTTTGATATGAAAATCTTCTAGACAAAGGATTGTCAGTTGCACATTTGAATAGCCTGCCACGGATTGAAAGCCTCAAAATACAGCCATTTGGACTGTACAGACCTGCTCTCAAACGTATATAATCATGGCCATCAACATGCCCCATGGAGCGGTATGAAGTGCTCTCTCCTCTTAGGGAAGTTAAACTTGCATGTTTTATTCCTGTCTTTGTATACCTACCTCGTGCCTGGCACATAGTAGGTACTTTTTAAAAATGCTTGCTGATTGATTCCTACTGCCTGACCAGGAGGATCAGAGGATCATAGAATTGGGGGGCTGGCCTTGAGTTAATCTAGACATGGGTGACCCCTTGGCAGAAAGGAAAACGGAGGTCCAGGCAGGTTGGATAAATTGTTCAAGGTCACATAGCCAGTTAGTTCATAGATTCAGAACTGGAAGGGACCTTAAAGGTCATCTAGTTCAATCCCTTTACTTTACAGATGAGGAAAATGAGGCCTTGAGAGGTTAATTAACCAAGGTCACATCTAGTAATGATCTGAGGCAAGATTTGAACCCAGCTCTTCCTGACTCCAAGTTCAGCTCTCTACCTACCATACACAGTGTCCCCCTGGTTAGAGATAGGACTAAAATCCAGGTCTCCTTAGTCCATTTCTGCACCCTTTTCTCCACACTACCCTGCCTCACTATGATGAGACTTAATTTCCACACATTTTGCAACTGTCCTTCTAGAGCTGCTTCCCAGTATTCCATCAGCGGTGAAGATGGCCCTGGGGCTATAAAGGCAAGGGATATAGTACTGGGCAAGGCATTTAAAAAGCATTTTCCTAGACAGATATCAGGCTCCATGAGGACTCAATACTTGGACCTTTTCCTCAGAACCCTGAAAAACCATGTCTTAACACTGAACATGACTCTCTCCAAAGCCTCATCAGACATATGGATTGATTTTACATACACACACACATACACACACACACCACACCTGTCTATATGTATATATTTATAGGTATATATGTGCATATGCTATATATGTATGTATATATTTCATATATATGCATATATAATATCTATATACATATTATACATACTCCAGGCCCAGCACTCTATCCATTGTGATATGCATGCATGTATGTATGTATATATATATATATATATATATATATACACATACACACATATACATATATACACAAAAATATGTGTGTGTATGTGTGTGTGTATATATATATATATATATATATATATATGTATGTATGTATATAATCTCTGACACCAGATTACATATCTGAGGCCAGATTTAAGCTCAAGAAGATAAGCGAGACTCATCTTCCTGAGTTCAAATCTGGCCTCCAATACTTGCTAACTGTGTGACCCTGGGCAAGTCCCTTCACCCTGTTTCCCTCAGTTTCCTCATCTGTAGAATGTTCTGGAGAAGGAAATGGCAAATTACTCCAGTATCTTTGTCAAGAAACCTCCAAATGGGGGTCTTGAGATAGATAGATAGATAGATAGATAGATAGATAGATAGATAGATAGATAGATAGATAGATAGATAGATATAGGTAGATAGATATAGGAACCAACATAACTTATAAGTATGTATATGTATATATATATATATATATATATATAAAATCAATGTAAGTTGATTTTATATCTGTGGGTATATAGATGTATATATGTGTGTGTATATATATATATATATACATACATATACATATACATATATATAAATAAAAGGAAGAGAATATATATGTATGTACACACATATACACACACATATATGTATCTCTCTAAGTCAATCAATGATATCATAATGAGGGAGAGCTTTGCAGCTTAATTTCCTCCTCAGGGCTGTCACCCCCTGGGATAAGAGCCATTTCAAGGCCCAGCTGAGCCCCAGCCCTTGCTTAGATACATGTGGTGGGGATTAGTAAACAGACCACTCACCTTTTCCAAATATGACAATACTTCTCACAATATCCCAGTGGGATTTCTTCACTGGGCACACAGAGAGAGTCAAATATTTCTCCTTCATTCTCTGAAAAGCCTGTTCAACCTCCTGTAGGCAGGAAACGGAGAAGAAGCACATATATTTGATAAGGTCATTTCAGATGCAGTGATACTCCATATTCTCACTGCTTCTTTGTAGAGTAAGTTTAGAAGACTTAGAGATAGAATCTCATTCAACCTCAAGCTATTTGATTAGTAGAGGGAACGTGAGATACCAGTCCTATTTAGAGATAGTGCAAGGAATTTGTAGAGCAGGGGCACCAGAATCCTTACATGGAACCTCTGATCACGAGGCAAAAGTAGTCAAGTCTAACCCCACCTGCATCTCTAATGTGATGCCCTTGGTTGAATAGCCATCATAGTTCATGGAATTTAAATCTGTAAGAAACTTAGAGCTCATCTGGTCCAACCACCTGATTTTATAAGTGAGGAGGCTGAGAGAGTAAGAGAGCAAGAGACACAGAAAGACAGAGATAGTAACAGAGAAAGACAGAGATAGAGGGATAGAGACAGAGAAGTAAAGACACAGAGAGACAGAGAGAGTGCCAGGCATCTTGCTAAGCACTAGGGATAAGCTATAAGAAACCAGAATGGCCCCTACTTTTGAGACAGTCAGATTCTAATGGGGAGAGGAGAGTAACCTGCACAAGATCACACAGGTAGTGAGCGGTAAAGCTGAAAAGTGAACCTATATCTTCTGATTCTTCCTCCAGCAGATTTTTAAAACTGTAACACTCATGAAAAAGTGAAATCCAGGATGAAGTTTTCGTGTAAAGACTTTCACCAGAAGCATACTTAGGTTGAGATGGTACTCCATTCATCCAATTATTCTTTCACCCAACATCAGTTAAGTGCTGTTTGGGGAACACTGTTGTGATATGTAAGAATTGAAGTTTAGATAAACTATGGTCTCTCATAGATTTCAAAGTCTAGTAGGGAAATAGCCCCAAAATATACATCACTGCATTACATAGCATTCCAAGAGACATACATTAATAGGTTACAGAAACCAATAAAGCACTTTGTTCACATGATCAAAATTGAGCCTTGTAACAAATGCTGTGTGGTAAGCATTGCACACGTTAATCCCCACTTTATAGATGAAGAAACCGAGAGTCAAGAAACTAAGCAACGTGCCTACTGTCGCACAACTAACAAAAATCAGAATCAGGATCTGAAACCAGGTCTTCTTTTCTCTAGGTTTACATATAATCCATTATGTCATGCTACCTATATATTTACATGTTGTCTCCCTCCACAGACTGTAAGCTCCTGGAGGGCAGGGGCTGTTTTACTATTGCCTTTTGAATCTCAGCAGGTAATACTGTGCCTAATTAATTAGTTAATAATTGATTATTGAATGCCTAACTCTCAAAGTTCTATTTAAGGTTCAAAGGGGAAGATTATTACCAATGGGGTAAAAAGCACATGTGACCAGCCACGATATCTGTGTTTGCAAATCCCCCATACAGATTAACTGAAATGGGATTTACATTCCTCAAGATAGAAATCCTGTGAAGAGGAAATTATATTTATCTTGGAGCTTATACAACAGAGACACCCACATTCAGATGTCACGCTCATAGACAGTGGCTTATAAATTGATAACGTCTTATACCATGCAGCAAGAGGGGTAATATGATATATGGGAGATGTGGAACTTTGTAACCATTCTTCAGGTTATCATCATCATCATCATCATCTATCTATCATGATGATGATAGCTATTTTTGGAATGGAGAGAGTTGGGTTCAGATTCTGACTCTGATATTGGCTCTATCACAATAGGCAAATCCTACCACCTCTTTGAGATTATTCCTTTATCTGTAAAATGGGGATAATAATATTTATTAGGAACAGTGTATTACAGATGAAAGACTACTACATATGGAGTCACAAGGCTAGGGATTAAATCCTGCCTCTGCCATTCATTACCAAGATGATGATGATGATTGTATATTACTATATTGATATTAACATTGTTATTATTATATTATTAATACTATGATTTCACTATTATTTTGTGACCTAAAACAAGACATTTAACTTCTCTGGGTCTTGTTTTCCTGGTTTGCAAAATCAAGGAGTTGAATTGGATGACCATTAAGGTCCATTCTAAATCTAGACTCCTGAGAGCTTACTTGTACTGCCTACATCACAGAAGTGGTTTTAGGAAAGTGTTTTGTAAACCTTAAAGCTCTACATAAAAAAGGTTGAGAAGTGAACTTGTGATTCCCAGGTGAGGAAACTCCTACTACCAAGGCAGGTCACAACCAGCTCTACAACTTATTGTCTTAACTGGGGCACTGAGAAATTAAGTGACTTACCCAGGGTCACACAACCAGTAACTTTCAGGGGAAAAATTTTATTTTAGGCCCTCCTGGCTGTCCATCAAATTATATAATATTTGGGAAAATACTTAGCACAGTACTTAGCACATAGTAGACACCTAATAAATGCTTCCTCCCTTCCCTTCCTGCCCCCAATCCACTATATTGTATTGCCTCTCACTATATAAATATGGAATGTTATAATTATCAGAATTTTTTTGTGGCCAGGAAGTACAAAGTTCAAGTGGTCAGTCATATCCTTTTGGAAATGGTTCTAGACCTCTGGCTTGATCCTGAAGTCTCTAAAACTGACAGGAAGAATAGAGAATAGAGACCTGAGAGGTAGGCTTATGCCAACATGGCATGCACCGACTTGTATGTGGCAAGCCAACAGACACAAATTTGAGGTCCAGAGTAGGTTACCATGTCACTTACTGGATTGAGAAGTTAATAGGACAAAAATCCATTCCAGCCAGCTAGAGAAATGTTTCCTGTCCACCCTAACCAATACTACTAGGCACCATACTGAATCCATTCATTCTGTTACAGGGAGACCTAATAGACACCTAGCTCTGAGAAGACTCTCTTCATAGACGAGAAGGCACCATTGCCTAAAGAGCCCACTCAATACCTCTTGATCTTGCTTGGAATTTTTGCTTCTTTGGGACATCTTTGACCTTGCCTTTTTCACCTGCCTACCATGTTTCTGCACAATAAGAAATACAACATGCTCTTTCTTTCCAGTCCTCTCCTCTTCCTCACTCTTATTGAGAATCTCCATTGTCATATCCATGTTGAAGAAGTCTTTGGCAACTGCTTCCATGATGCCTAGGCCAGGAGAAAATACACTCATGAGTTATAGCTGATGGCAATTCAATTCAACATTGATTAAGCACCTACTATATCCAAGGCACTGTATGAGGGATTGGGATATAGAGACAAGAAGGAAGCAGTCTTTCCTTTATATGGAACTTACTACAAGGGAATTTTACGTGCACACAAGTAAATAAAAGGGAAAGGAGCAGCGAGTGGAGCTACGATTTCATTGAAGTAGGGAACTCCCAGATGTGCAAACTCCGTCTACCAACGTAGGCTTGCATCTACTCTGCAACTTAGTCTTAGATGATTGCCTAGAATACTGAGAAGCCAAGGGTACTCAGGGTCACATGGCCAGTAAATGACAGAGTCAAGACTCAATGCAGGTCTTCCTAGCTCTAAGTATGACTCTCTATCCACTATGTCAGACAGCAAAAAACATACAAAGTAATTTCCAGAGAAAGAGGGTGTTAACAGCTAGGGGTGAGGGCAGAATCAATTAACATTGCTTGTGGAAGGTGGTGTCTAACCTATACTTAAGATCACAGCAATAATAATAATATTAATATAGAATTTATATAGTACTTTAAGGTTTTTAGAGTGCTTTATAAATATTATCTCATTTGATTCTAATAACAACCCTGGGAAGTAGGTGCTATTATTATCTTCATATTACAGTTGAGAAAGCTGAAGCAGACAGAGGTTAAATGACTTGCCCAGGGCCACACAGCTAGTAAACGTCTGAGGCTGGATTTGAATTAGTCTTCTTAATTCTAGGCCTGGCACTCTATCCACTGTATGACCTCAGTGCCTAAAGGAAATTATATCAACAGACACTGGAAAGATAGGCGGGAATCGGATTGGGGAGATCTTCAAATACCAGGCTGATGATTTTTTAATTTTTTTCTGTATCTTAGAAGCAATTTGAGAACCACTGAAGATTTTGGAAAGGGAGGGAGAAGAAGGTATAACATGGTCAGATCTGCATTTCAGGAATATAAATTTTACAACTGTATGGAGGCTGGATTTGAGATGAAAGGTGTTTTTGGATAGAGAGACTCATTAATAAGCCACTGCAGTAGTCTAAGTTGGAGGTGATAAAGTTCTGACCCCTAAATAAATTACGAAATAATAAAGTCACAGCTCTCCAGAGGATCTCCAGAATTCATAGTACAGAGCCAGAATTCAGACAGGCCTCACCAATGAGAGGAAGTAACTGGTCAGTCGACGGCCATGTATTGACTTCATGCTATGTTCAGAGCACTGTGATGTGACAGATACAAACAGGCATGGAGGCAGTGAATGCTCCATCATTTCCTATTACTCTATTCCCTCAAGAGACTCATCAGAGTAAGACGACAAATGCTCAAGACTGATGAACACTCATGCTCAGGAGATTACCAGGAAAACAGAAGCAAAAGCAGACCCAAACCCTCTCCAATCTGCTTTGTCACTAATTTCAGGTCTTGACCTGACACCATGTTTCCAAAGGTTTATTGGATCAAGTATCAGACTCTGTGGCTTTCCATTACTGGATAATTCTTTGTCAATGCCTTGAGTTTAAATCAGTCTTACAAAGAGTCTCCAACAATTCATGTAACTATTTTTTTTAGCCATTCCTTAGAATTTTTTCCAACAAAATAATAATGATGCTCTAGGTTATATTTTTTATCGAAATTCTTACTCGCCTGTAGACTACTTTCTTTCAGACTTAAAGCTGTGAATCAGACCTAATATTCACATCTGGGCTGAATCTTGCACTTGAAGCAATGTACTCCAAGGTAGACTGTGATGCAGAAAGTACCATTAATCATATGTTGGGGAGCCTAGGACAGTTTTGTCACTTGATATCCTATTTCAGAATTTAAAAAAATTTAAGATAAAGTGTTTATCCTATCAAAATAAGAACCAGAGGCACAAAATCCAAGGACAAAATGATCAAAATGTCTGCTTTAAAAGTAATGCCACCTTTTGACACTAGGTCTTTAATTAACTTTAATTAAGGGCACATTTATTTATGGGAGAGATGAGGGCAGGTAAGAGGTGGCACCTGGATGGTTCTTTATAAAAATCCAGGATACCACCAAATGGAAACAGGAGGAGGCATTTCAGAAATGAGCACCATCTGAGGAAAGGCAGAAAAGTGTAAGGATGAAGACAGATGGCAATCTCTCAAGGAATATGGTTTAACGAGGCTTTGGGAGATGATGAAGTTAGATTACCAAGAGTTTATGGTGAGAGGTAGTTCCTAGTTTCAGAGACACTCAAGGATTCTTTTTTTTTTTAACTTATTTACTTAATTTTTAATTTATGAATAAAACAAGCATTTCCATGTGATAGTATAATAAAAAGATGATTGCATATGAAACTGCAAATCTATCATATATACCTTGCTATTCCTTTTAAATATATAATAAAGTTATGTAAATTTTTTCTCTACCCTCCCCCGCAAGGATTCAGTCCTCAAGAAACAGTCAACTTAATCTCCTACCTGGGACAATGTGGCACAGACCTCTTCTGTCAGAGTAGTAGTGAAGGAGCATTGTCCCATTTGCTCTTTTCTCCACTCTAAATGAGGGTGCGTTCATCGCCTAAGCGAAAAACAAAAAACAAACAAAAAAATTTTCCTCCATCAGTCTAATTTGTCCAAATCACCCTTTTAGACTTCCTGATTATATCACATGGTAGAATAATCCTAAAAACCCGACTCCTTTGGAGCATTGTCATCTCTGATAACACTCCTGTGCCTGGGTGATTTCAGGTCAGTGGTAAGATACCAGGAACCCTTAAATTGATCTCTCAGTGTTTGGGCGTACGGTAAGCTGTAATAGTCCCTCGACTTGGCAGATAGTCTTGTTCTGGCCTCTGAGAACAAGAATAGGTCTGGAAGAAGTGTCCCAAAGGAGAAATCATTCAGTGGCAACTCCCTTCTCACATGGAAAACTCAGGGCTACGTCAATGTTGGTAAGCAAGAATAATGAGAAAAAGTTGAGTCTGTTGGAAAGAGGACAATCTAGATAAATTAACACTTAAACATAGTTCGAAGGATTCTGGCTTCCTCCTGGAGAAAGCTTAGGGACTTGGGTTATAAAAAATGTCTAGCAATAGCACAAATTGCTATTAGACAAAAGGAAAAACACCTTGAATGTAAGTTTCCAAGGGAAGCTGTCGAATCTTTGTTGAAAATCATGGAACTGGGGAAGCAGCTAGGTGGCGCAGTGGATAGAGCTCTGGCCTTGGAGTCAGAAGGACCTTAGGTCACATCTGACCTCAGATACTTGACACTTACTAGCTGTGTGACCCTGGGCAAGTCACTTAACCCTGATTGCCTCACCAAAAAAAAAAAAATCATGGAACTGGAAAAGACCTTTAAACACACCATAAAATGTCCCTATCCTTTAATCCAGAGATTCTGCCACTAGGTATATTCAGTAAGGAGGACAAGGATAGCAAGAAAGGTCCAATCACTGTGAAGATGATTGCCAGATTTATATGCCCAGTCTCAGTATTTTTGCTGGGTTATACTCAGACATCTCCAGCTGCCTCTTGAATAGCCTAAAAATGAATGTCCTGTAGGCATCTCAAACTTAACATATTCAAAATAGAAATGTTGATAGAACAGTTGGGCAGAACTCATTTTCTGCCCCACCCTAACTAATAACTCCCCCCTTCTGAACCTCCTTATTACTGCAGAGGGAACCATGATCCTCCTAGGCACCCAGACTCACAATCTCACTGTCATCCTTGATTCTTTACTCACCCTCAAATTGTCAACAGTTATTAAACGCCTACTATGTGCCAGGCACTATGCTAAGTATTAGAGATACAGAGTAAGGTAAAGACAGTTCCTACCCTCAAGGAGCCCACAGCCTAACTGGGGAGACAACATGCAAGCAACTGTATGCAGACAAGATATACAAGATAAATTTGAGATGACCTTAGAGGGCATGCACTGGCATGAAGGTTGATAGGGAAAATTATTTTTGCAGAAGGCAGGATTTTAGCCGGGAGCTGAAGGAAATCAAAGAACCCAGAAGATGGAGATGAGGAAGGAGAGGATTCCAGGCACATTGTCTGGGGGACAGGCATCAGGAAATAGAGTGTGTTGTATGGAGAACAATAGCAAGGAGACCAGTGTCACTGCATTGTAGAGTATGTGGAGGGGAGTAAAAGCATAGGAAGGCTAGGAAAGTAGGAAGGGCTAGCTTATTAAGGGCTTTAAAAACCAAACACAGGTTTTAATATTTGATTCTGGAGGCAATAGGGAACTGCTGGAATTTATTAATTTTGTTGTTTGGTCATTTCTGACTCTTTGTGACCCCACTTGGGTTTTTTTTTTTTTGGCAAAGATACTGGAAATGCCTGCCATTTCCTTCTCCAGTTCATTTTACAAATGAGGAAACTGAGGCAAACAGGGTTAAGTGACTTGTCCAGGGTCACATAGCCAGTTAAGTGTCACAGGCCAGATTTGAACTCACGAAGATGAATCTTTTTTACTTCAGACCCAGCACTCTGTCCACTAGCTACTTCTAATTTATTAATGGGTGGGGGTGTGTTCTGCACTTCAAGAACATCACTTTAATAGCTTATCTCACATGTATAACCTGTTCCCAAACCTTGACATTTCTACCTTCATGACATTTCTCATATCCTTTACTCCATTCACACAATGACCACCATGTTGTAGACTCTTATTAACTCTCACCTAGACTAGGGCAATAGACTTCTGGTTGGGCCTGCTACTTCAAGACTCAGGCCAAATTGTTCCTTTCCGGGCAGACCTTTCTTGGCCTCCCCCAATAGCTAATGCCTACCCTCTTAATCTGCATATAGCTTCTACATATTGAGTTATTTCTTTGTGGTCTTCTCCATTACAAAGTGTACACCTAGAAGGTAAGAACTGTTTTTAGTTTTGTTTGTTTATTTTGCCTTCCTTTCTAGCCTTATCGCTTAGCACAATGTTTGGCACATTTAATAAATGTTTGTTGATTGGCTAATTGTCATTCTGTTAATTGTGTTCCTCACTCTTCTTATCTCACTTTGTTGAAGTTCATTTAAGTCTCCCTAAGGCTTTCTATATTCTTCATATTCATCATTTCTTATGGCAGAGTGGTATTCTGTTACATTTATGTATCACAACTTGATCCTTCTCCAGTCTTACATTTCCAACTTCCCATTGCGCATCTCTAACTAGATTATTGAGAACATCTTAAACTCATTATTTTTCATTCGGTCATTTTTTCATCCATGTCCGACTCTGTCCACTGTGCCACCTAGCTGGCACATCATATTTCAAATCTGAATTCATCATCTTTTGCCCAAAACCCTCCCCTCTTCCATACTTCCCTATTATTGACTGAGGTACCACCATGTTCCCAACCCAGGTATCAGCCTCTCTCCTTCCCTCTCTATCACCCTCTGTCTAATCTTTTGCCAAGTCCTGTCATTTCTACCTTTGTAACATTTTGCATATAAACTCTCTCCTCTCCTATGACACTGCCACCACCCTGGTATAGGGCCTCATCTCCTAATGCCTAGGCTATTGCAATAGTCTGCAGGTTGGTCTCCTTGCCTCAAATATCTCCAATCTGTCTTCCACTCAGTTGTCAAATTGACCTTCCTAGGCTTGACTAGGTCAAACACTTTGGACTAGTCACTTACTCCAAGAATTAGTTCATAGATATTTCTTCAATTCTACTCAAATTAACGAGCATTTGTTAAGTGTCTGATATGTCATAGACACTACACTAGGTTTCCAGGGTATAAACATGAAATGACATCACCTTTGCTCTCAAGCAGCTTTACATTTTGGAAAATGGAATTTATTAATCACCACTATGAGTCAGGCCCCCTCCTGGATCACTGCCTTGTCACGGCAGAGGGGCTTGTGTAACTAAATGAAACTATGAGCAATGCCATGGAAGGTTATTTAAGATAGGTCACAGTGGAGAGTTCAGACAAAAGGTGATCCACTGGAGGAAGGAATGGCAAACCACTGAAGTTATCTTTGCCAAGAAAACCCATGGACAATACTAAAAAGATAAAATATTTCCTACTTTAAATGCACAATGCAAAGATATAGAAGAAAACAAGAGAATGGGAAGGATAAGAGATCTCTTCAAGAAAATTAGAGATATCAAGGAAATGTTTCACACAAAGAAAAAAAAGACAAAATGGTAGGGACTTAACAGAAATAAAAGAGATTAAGAAGAGGTGACAAGAATATACAGAAGAACTATACAATACAGATCTTAACGTCACTGATAACCATGATGGTGTGGTTACTAATCTAGAATCAGACATCCTGGAGAATGAAGTTAAGTGAGCTTTAGGAAGCATTGCTAATAATAAGGCTAGTGAAGGTGACCGAATTCCATCTGAGCTACTTAAAATCCTAAAATATGATGCTGTTAAAGTGCTACACTCAATATGCCAGCAAATTTGGAAAATTCAACAGTGGTCACTGGATTGGGAAAGTTCAGTTTATGTTCCAATCCTAAAGAAGAGCAATGTCAAGGAATGTTCAAATTACCAAACAATTGCACTCCTTTCACATGCCAGCAAGATTATGCCTAATATTCTGCAAGTTAGGTTCCCCCAATATGGGAATCTAGAATTACCAGAAGATCAGGCTGGTTTTCAAAGAGCCAGAGGAACTAGAGACCAAGTTGCCAACATTCATGGTTTATGGAGAAGGCAAGGGAGTTCCAGAAAAAACATCTACTTCTGCTTCATTGACTGCACTAAAGCCTTCTGTGATCAAATCAGTCAATACTTAAATTAATTTAGATTATTCAGTGGAAGGACAAATACTGAAGCTGAAGCTTATATGCTTTAGATACATAGTGAGAAGGAGTGGGACTCATTGGAGAAGACCCTGATGTGGGGAAATATAAAAGGGGAAGGGAAATGGCAGAGGATAAGATGGATCGGTAGTGTCATGGAAGCAATCAACATGAGCTTGGACAGAGCTTGGGAGATACTAGAGGACAGCCGAGCCTGGTGTTGTACGGTCCATGGGGTCACAAAGAGACACAGTTTAATGACTGAACAACAACAACAACACTGTTCCAAGCACTTCACAAATACTTTCTTATTCAAAACTTGCAACAACTCTGTGAGGTAAGTGCTATTATCACCCCCATTTAAAGTTGAGGAAATTGAGACAGAGATTAAGTGACTTGCCCAGGGTGACGCCATTAGTAACTGACTGAGGCTTGATTTGACCTTGGTTCTTTATTATTTCAGGTCCACTGCTCTATGCACTTGGCCACCTACCTGACTCTGAGAGCTTACCTTCCATAAAGTGCCTATGATATGGACAACACCGTGTGTAAACACCAACATCTCACCCTACTCTCAGGAAGTGAAGAAAGCAATACTCTTTCCTGACTTCGTTCATATTAGCAGCTTAGCTGTGTGTATTCTCTGTTTGGGGACTGACAAAAAGGCTCACTGTAAGAAAACCAAACTGAAATGAATCCTCCCCTGATGGAAAGTTTTGGTTGTATAGAGAATGGTTCCCTCCATTTTACCTTTTGAAATATAGTTCTTTCTTCTTCAAAACATGAGGATACTAGGCAACTGCTTACCCTTTGATCTTTAAAAATATAAATGAACTCCAAAAGGAAAGGTCCCAATAGGGAAATTAGTTTCTTAACAGCTCAGCCAGTAATCCTGTTAGCTAATCAGAGTTGGACGGCTTCCTACACTGGCTATTGGTCCTGTTAGTTTCTCTTGCCTTTTGTCTGGCTACTCAACTCATTTATCATCCTCTTCCAGGCCAGCATCCCTAAAGAGAGAATCCAAAGTCCCTCTCAAATCTGATCACACTCTTGTCTTTGTTCTCTCTGTAAGCTCTCCCAAGGTTTAATTGCAAATCCAAACCAGTTCTAGGGGGAGAGATTTTTTCCCTCACCAGAAATTCGCTTTCCCCCAGTTTTTACTTTTGAATTTTTGATGTCCAGCTATAAAAAGACCTTAATTATTTTCTATTCTTTACTAACCTAATAAAGACTGCTAAATTATTGACATGATTTATTGACGTAGTGACAACAGGAGGAGAGCAGGGAGCTTACCCTCTGCAGATGTGTTCTGGCTAGCCATCAAGGACGTGGTTGTCAAGACACTCAAACCCAAAACTGTACCTGATAAGAGAGAGCAAGGTAACTGTGCAGGGCATCTAAATTTTCAATAAACTCCATCAGATTTCCTCCCAGGGTGCGTAACATCCTGTCATAGCCAGACATCTTGCAGAACTTAAAAAAGTATTCTCCAAACATCTTCAGAATAGCTTCCATGGAGACACCTACACGGGCAAAAGCATAGACCAACTTATCACTGAATACAGGGGAAATTATTGGGCTAGTCCATTTTCAGTGAGAGCCTGATACACTGTTTAAAACCTACATTTGACTTTCCTGGGAGGAACGTTTACGTGCTTGGGGAAAGGAGATATTTTTATAGGTTCTGTTTTATAATTTATTACTCTATCAAAGTGGTCATGATTATATAAGAAATGTTGCAAGCACAATCCTATTTTTCCAAAAAAAATTAATTTTTTATCATTCTGAGCTTGATAAATACCAACAAACACATTTCTACATGTGAAGAGCAGAAAAAGGGAATTGTTTATGAAACCATTACATTTTCACTATGCACAGATTGTTTTTTTTAAGTACATACTAAATTTAGCACATTAGTTCCTAAACTGCCCTACTTGTCTGAGCTTCCCACTAAATCTCCTATTCTCTCCTGTACATTTAAAAATGCTCCCTTCTTTTCTTTCTTTCTTTTTTCCTCTGCATCGCTACCACTATAGTCACCCTCCCTTTTAACAACAATTTTAGATATTGAGCATGTTCAAAAATATCTGTCTCATTTTGCACCTCTACTCCATCATCCATCTCTTTGTCAGTTTGTGGAAAACAGGTTTTTCTCAGTGGTCCTCAGGAGTCATTGTTAGTCGTTGCATTGACCTAGCCATGCAATTATTAGGCATATACTCAGAGATCAAACAGAGAAGGAAAAGAGCCATATGTACAAAAATATTTATAGCAACACTTTTTTATCATAACAAAGAATTAGTAACTAAAGAGGTATCCCGAATTTTGGAATGGTTGAACAAGTTATCTTGAATGAATGTGATGGAATACTGTTATACTATAAGAAATTATAAAAGAGCTGGTTCTCAGGAAATCTGGGAAGATTTGTATGAACTGATTTCAAAGTTAAGTGAACAGAACTAGGGAAATGATTTTTACAATGACTACAACAATGTAAAGAAAAACAACTTTAAAAGACTTAAGAACTCTTTTTAATGAAATGACCAATCATGACCCCAGAGGACTGATGCTAAAGAATGCTTCATACAAAGAGATTATAGACTCAAGATGCAGAATGAGACATATTTTTCAAGATAGACAATATAGGAGTTTCTTTACTTGACTATGTACATTTGTTACAAAGGTTTTCTTTTTCTTTTGTTTGTTGGTGGGGGAGGTAGAAAGGAGAGAAAATAAATGCTTATTAATTGAAAAAAATATATAATTTTTAAAAATATATTTATCAATTTAATGAGGATTTTGGGCATAGTTACAAATTGCTTCCTAGAAAGGCTGAAAATAAATAACTTCTTAGAACCTTAATATCTCTGAGAGTCATAGAAAAAAGTTACAATGATAGGAAGTCTATGGGTAGTTTTGTTCTATTTTAGTGGTCGTAGTTAAAACCAAAAAGGTGAGGAATACGGGACTATACTATGAAAGAAGGAAAGAAGAAAGGGAAGGAAGTCACTATTACATAAATATGATGACGTGATTATAGGCCCAATGGATAGGAGGAATAGGCATACCATGAAGCTCACTTTCATCTGAACAAGATAAAAGAAGATTGAAAACACTTATGCCTCTACACACACACACACACACACACACACACACACACACACACACACACACATGCATGCAAAATCATGATTTCAGATAAGGCTATGATAAACATAAACAAAATAAGATGAGATAAGCAGAGAAATTGCATCATGTTTAAAGATTATAGATAACAAATCAATATCACTACTCTGTGTTTAGGTATACCTAATAGCATACCATTTAAATACTTAAAGAAACAGTTAATCAAATTGGAGAAAGAAAATAGCAAAACTGCAATAATGGAAGACTTTAATGTAACTTCTTTCACACCTAGACAAATCTAACCAAAATATCAATAAGAAAGAAGTTAGGGACCTTGATAGAACTATAGAAAAATGAAAGATGATAGATCTCTGGCATTTACTGAACAGGCAAAGAAATAAACTTATGTACTCTTAACTGTAATAGTATCCTTCCTTACAAAAACTTACCATGTATTGGGGCACAGAGACCTCACCAAAAAAAAAAAAGGCAGAAAAACAGAAATTTTGAACACATCAATTACAAGGCAATGAAAAATTGTGTTGTATAATGGGCCCTTAAAGAATGAACATTAATAAAATTGAAAGCAAAAAAGACCATTGATTTGATAAATAAAGCTAGAAACTGTTTTTTTAAAAAAAAAAAACTAATAAAATAGATAAACACCTAGTGTGGTTTTTAAAAGAGAGAAAAACCAAGTTGTCTATATTAAAAATAAAAATGAAAACTTTTACTAATTCAAGATGAAATAAAGGAAATTATCAGAAACTAATTTACTTAATTACCAAGTTAATTAGTTGAACAGATTAAGTACATACCATATAGAAGCAGACAAACACAGTAGTGTAAGATTTGATAAGCCCAAAGACCTTAAATATTAGAAGAAAGATTCACTATTTGACAAAAAATTTGCTGGGAAAACTGAACACTCTAGTACATCCTCCACTCAATTGCCAAAATGATTTTCCTAAATTGCAGGTCTAATCATGTCTCTCTCTCTCTCTCTCTCTCTCTCTCTCTCTCTCTCTCTCTCTCTCACACACACACACACACACACACACACACACACACACACAACCTTTCATAACCTACCTCCCTTCCTACCTTTCCCAATGACACTGGCCTCCCTGGTGTCTCTTGAATAAGATGCTCCATTTTCCTACCCCAGGCATGTTCACTGGCTACCCTAAAATGCTCTCCCATCTTAACCTCTGTCTCTTGGCTTCCTTTACTTCTTTCAAACCAGTTGAAATCCTGCCTTCTACAGGGAGCCAATCCCTCTTCATTCCACTGTCTTCCCTCTGTCAATTATTTATTTGTTTTGTATGTAGTTTGTTTGTTGGTTTTGGTAAATAGTTGTTTGCATATTGTCTCCCTGCACTGGACTATGAGTTCCTTGAGGCCAAGGGCAGTCTTTTGCCTGTCTTTGCATTCCCAATATTTAGTGCAGTACCATATGGTAGGCACTTAATAAATGTTTATTGACTGCCTGTCTAGCTACCATGATAAAAATTACTATACATACTTTTACACATATAAATGCTTTCTCTTTTTCTTTGATTTCTTTGGCATATGGTCCTAATAATGGTATAGCTGAGTGTTTTGTGATAGCCTTCCTTCTATTGGGTAATAGCTAACCAAATGGTGGTATATGAATATAATGAAATACTATTTTGAGATAAGAAAGAATGAAATGGTCTGTTTCAGAGGAAACTAGGAAAACTACTATGAACTAGTACAGAGCTAAGTCAACAGAACTGGGAGAACAATTTATACAATCGTCACAACACTAGAGAGAAAAATAATTTTGAAAGACTTCAGAATTATGATCAATGAAATGATAAATCACAAGTCCAAGAGAATGATGATTGAAACATGCCACTCACCTGACAGACAAGTGATGAATTTAAGATGTAGAAAGAGACATATTTTTCAAATATGACCAGTGTGGGCATTTGTTTTACTCAACTATGCATCTACATATTGAAGGAAAAGGAGGATGGTGGGAGGGGCAAAAAAATTTTAAAAAGAAAAAAATAGCAATGAATATTTATGCTATGATACACAACACTTACTTCAATATAATTTATTGTTATGTGGTGGCGTTGCTCTGAATTAGAATTCAAGTAGAGCCATGATGCCAAAGAGGAAAGGAAATACATTGTTTCATCTTACTACTAAAAACTCTTTATGATGTAAGACTACTATTACTATCACCGTTATCAAGAATGAATAGGGAGCATTAATTTGAAAAAAAAAATAAGTTTTAGGTGCACAAGATTTAAAATGGACACCATTTACATTTTAAAATAATTATACTGTTTAAAACACAAATTTATGTACTAAAATAATTTTTTTTAAAAATCACAGTTGCTGGACCAATTCATAGTTTTACCAATAGTGCATCAGTGAGACTAATGAGCTTACTTCTATCTCTCCTTCAGTAATTTTCCTTGTTGTCATCTTTGCCAATCTGATAGGAATGTGAAGTGGGAACTCAAGAGTCATTTTCATTTTAATTTCTCTAACTACTTCTGATTTGGAGAATTCTTTTTATATGGTTGGTGATAGCTTGCTTTTTTCTTTTGAGAACTGCATTTTCATATTTTCTAACCATTTACCTTTTGGGGAATGACTTTTGTTCTTATATATTTGAATTGGTTCCTACACACACACACACACACACACACACACACACACACACACACACACACAAGCATATCTTAGATACCAGAAATTTATTAGAGAAACTTATTTATTAAAGAAATTTAGAGAATTACTAAAGAATTTATTAGAGAAACAATAAAGATTTTTCTTAGTCATTTTTTCCCTTTTCATTTTAGTTACATTGGAGTTCTGTGTGTGTGCAAAAACTTTTCCGTATTATGTAATCAGAATTGTGAATTTTATCTCCTGTGGGTCTCTCTATCCTTTGTATGGTCATAAACTCTTCCCCTATCCTTAGCTATGAAAGATACTTCATTTTTTGCTCTTTTAATTTGTTTATATCATGATCTTTTATATCAAGGTCATATATTAATTTGGATTTTATTGCAGCATATGGGTGGCGTGGACCTACTTTCTTCCAAGCTATTTGTCAATTTTCCCAGCAGATTGGGTTGAGTAGTTAAGGTCTTTAGTTTTACTAAACACTATGCTATTATGTTCATTTTCCCCTCATGCCCCACTTATGCATTTTTGGAGGTGTAGGTCAACACCCAACAATTTAGATGATTATTGCTTTTGAGGATAGTTTGAGATCCACCACTAACCCTGCCCCACCTCCCCACCCCCGGACTTCCCCATTCAGGGCACCACTGCAGGCTTCTGGCCACCCTAGAGCTTCCTGATCATGGTGCTGCTATAAACATCTAACCTACCGACCTTAGCTCTGCTG